AACATAAACGAAGGAACAGACAAACAAAGAATTGTCCATCCCGGCTCGTACTGTGGCTTCTGGCCCACCATTGCCGCTGGAGGGTAAGGGTGGGGACGCCCATAACATCACCAGCTGGGCACCCCCTTTTGAGCGATGCAAGGTCTTCGCCTGTGCATTCGTGGTGGTGGTGCTGTCCGGGCGGGTGTGGGGAAGGGTGGGAAGGGTCCTCCTTCTCATCCGCCAATACAGTCAACACCAACACCACCCACACACACACGCAACACACCACGCATGAGATCCAACACCCTCCGCCACACACACCCCTTCCGAAGGACCCACTCTGCCGAGGGACGGGGTGGCGGAGAGGGTCAGGTCAACCCGCCATGGGCCCTAATATGGAGTGCGGTTCAGGGCAGGCTCGCACAACTGAATGCGCCCGCGCAGCGCCTGGAATGCGCCTCCAAGAACCACGGCGCGTGGAAAGCAAGTCCCCGCCCACACCGCCTACACTCCTCACAACCCCCCCCCACACCTGAATGCCCACCCCGCCCGTTTCGCAGCAAATAGGCCAATACGGCAACTTGAAAACACAAGTGGCATGGCTGCCTGCGGAAGAAGGACTGGGGTGGACCAAGATAAGGTTTGAGGAGAGGCGAGTTGAGGATGACTGCGCCGACATGTGCGAAATAGGCCAACACACAAACTCGGTGCCCTCTCTCGATCCCCCTGCAGGCACGGAGTCCCAGAGCTGGAGTGAAGACTGGCACGACTGGCGCTTCCACCAGCCTGCAGCTCACTCTGAACTGAAACTCGCCCCGAAATTGATTGGCAAATGATTCATCCCTCCTCCATCAAACACCCCTCCCCCTGATCCATAGAACTAGGCCACTGGCAAGCGATGCAATGCCGATGCCTCTGATCTGGCCTGGGAAGGGACGTCTTGGGGGGGGGGGGAAGAGGGTAGATTGCCGACAGAAAGGAGGACGGTGGAGAGAGTGGGCCTACGCCCTACTGCTCAAGAAAGCGTTGGCGTCGGCGGCGGCCCCTCTCGAACCGCTCCCGCTCACTCGCAAACTCCCGCCA